CCGGCCCGGCGTCCCCCTGCCGCGGCCGGGGGTGCTGGCCAGTCAGGGGCTCATCCAGCAGGAAACTGTCCTGCGGGGGAAAAAAAAAAACTCAGGAAGGGTTTTCCGGCTGGATCCAAGCAAGGGAGCAGGCTTAGGGTTGATTTAGGGTGCCAGGACTCTGGGAATCAGTCCCCACTCCCGACCCTCTGGCTCACTGCTCCTCGCAGTGCCGTGCCTCAGTTTCCCCAGTATGATGCATGGCTGACCTCGCAGCCCCGATGTCCCCAAGGTGTCTGGCCCATGTCCCTGGTGAAGGAACCTGTCCCTGGGATGCTCTGCAGGTCCCCGTACCTGGGGATGAATCCTTTTGGCTTCCTCTGTGCCGTGACGCAGCGCTCCCCTGTTCCGCCTTCCCCCAGGTGCGTGCCAGGAGCTGTGCAAGGGCCAGCAGCCATTGTCTTGGCTGTCCCGACCAGGTGCCCTGGGCTCCCTCCCTCATGGAGTGAGCCAGCACTGGGGTCTCCACGCTGGTCCTGAGCCCCTCACGGGAGGAACGCTGGCCACCGCTGCGAATATGAGCGACTTCTGGCACAAGCTGGGCTGCTGCGTCGTAGAGAAACCACAGCCTGTAAGTAGCTTTGTGCAGGCCGGTTTGGGTCCCAAGTCCAGGTCAGGGGGGATGGCAGTCTCTGGGCAGCAAAAGCTGCAGGGATTAATGGCCTTCACCCACTTCCAGAAGAAGAGGAGGAGACGAATCGACCGCTCCATGATCGGGGAGCCCATGAACTTCGTGCACCTGACGCACATCGGCTCCAGCGACATGGCCGCCGGTGAAGGCCTGCCCATGGTACTGTACCCATGCTCACGGCTGGGTGATAGGTGTCGCTATTGAGTGACAAGTCTCATGGTTGGGTGATGGGTGTCACCATTGGTGGTAGTGGGGGGGTCTCATGGTTGGATGATGGGTCTCATGGTTGGGCTGATGGGGTCTCATGGTTCAGGTTTTAGGTCTCATGGTGTGGGTGACAGGTCTTATGGTTGGGTGATGGGTCCCACAGTTGGGTGACAGGTCTCATGGTGTGGGTGACAGGACCTATGATTGGGTGATGGGTCTCACAGTTGAGTAATGAAGTCTTGTGATTGGGTGACAGGTCTCATAGTTGGGATGATGAGGTCCTGTGGTTGGGTGACAGATCTCACAGTTGGGGTAACAGGTATTATGGTGTGGGTGATGGGTCTCGGGGTTGGGTGACAGGTCTCGGGGTTGGGTAATGGGTCTCACAGTTGGATGACAGGTCTCCGTCTTCTCCCCACAGACTGGCGCCGTCCAAGAGATGAGGTCCAAGGGTGGACGGGAGCGACAGTGGAGCAGCTCCCGGGTGTTGTAGCGTGAGTACCATGGTGATTTCGGGAGCAGGGCATGCGGGTGGCCACAACAGCCTTGAGCACTGCTGTTGCCATCTGAGGCAGGACAGCTAATCACCGGCTAATTAACATAGCAAAATGAGCTGCTGCTCATGTGCTGGGGCTAGACAGGTTTATGCCTTGAGTGAGGGGCTTTCGTCCCCCAAACCCCATACCCCTGCCACCCGCAGGCACCTGAGGGTTTTGTAACGTGGCATCTCTTGGACTTTGCAGGTTCCTGGCTATTTCAGCCCAAACTTGAACTGCCTCATCCCCAAACAGGAGGGGAACAGCCAAACTCGAGCGCTTTAGTCCTGCGGTAATTTATGCAAACCAACTCCCACTGGCCTGAGCGTGGTTTTAACATGTCCTCAGCCTCACACTCGTTGCAACCCGAAGCGCCAGCTGGGGCAGGCGTTTTCCTACTGACCCCTCGTCCTGTGTCCTCAACGTTTCTCCCGGTGGCTTTCGGTCGTCCCCCCGCGAATCCTTCCCTCCTGGAGGCACAAAAAGGTCGGCCAAAAGGACGCCCTCCTGAACTGCACAAGGAGTGCCAGGTGCAGGCAAAATGTGCCAAGCCATCCCAGTTTTCCCCTTTTTGACACCCTGACTGTCAACGATGGGCCACCGAGTGACGGCCACCCGCGCTGCCTCGGTTTCCCTGGGTGATGACAGCGAGGCCAGCCTGGAGGAGCACGACGCCTTCTCGGAAAAGACAGAAAAGAGCAAAAAACGGATTAAACCCAGACCCTGTGGCGTCTCCCAAGGCATCACCTCAGCTTCGGCGGTGGCAATGAGCTCGCGTTTCCTTCCAGTCTTCAGCGGGTGTTTCTACCACCGACAAACCTGCCCTTTCCTTCTTTTTTAGGGTATTTTATAAGCTCAAAAAGCACCTCCCACCTCGATGTGAGATTGCTGCCAGGGTTTAACCGGGACCGGCCGAGGCAGGACAGGGCCCAAACCCAGCTGCTACCCCGGGAAGGAGGGACTCGCTTGGGCTCCCAAATTCAGGCACGCGTGTATATAGTATAAATAGCACCAGCTGGGGTTGAGCTGCAGCGGCACGCTAGCCACCACACTTCCCACACTGTCCCCTGCACAAAAGTCACACCGAAATCAAGCCACTGTCTTGCACGGGGCACGGCGCCTGCTGGGTATTGCGGCCCCAGCAGCAACAGCTTTTTCCCCTTCGCGGCACAGGAAATCCCGGCACCACAGGTCACACGGATCCTGGCGCCGCTCCCACGCGGGGTATTTCCAGCCACACAGCGCGCCCGGCCTTTGTAAGCGAGTGCGAATGCTTGAGTCAGTTTTTTCCCCCCCTCCGGAAAACACACAAAGAAAAAACCCACACTTGAAATAAAACCCTTGTGCTGGCCCAAGAAGCGAATTTGTGAGCTGCCAGGGTCTCCTTGCCATCCTGCTGCTCCCCGCTTTGCTAACAGGAACCCCCAAATTCACACAAAATGCTGCTCGGAAAAGCAGAAAATGCCCGGTTTAATGGGAAGTGGATTGTGGAGGGGGTGCCGAATTCCCCATGGCCCCCCCCCCCCCTCTCCCCCCCCCCCCCGCCCCCCCCCAGCCACTGCGCTTGTGTCCACGTCCTTTATTCCCCTGCAGGTGTTCGGCCATTGCTTTCAGCACAGGGAGAGCTCCTGCCACACCACCACTGTGCATCCCCCCAGGACCGGTCCTGGTAGCACCTTTCCATCACTGCAGCACGTCCTGGCAGCCGTCCCAGCCCGGCTCTAGTCTAGGGAGGGGATAGAAATGTGTCTGTGGCCGGCACCTGGCAAAATCCCCCCCCCCCCGCCCAACCCCAGCCCCGCAGTGGGGGACTCACCGCCGGACAGGCTCGGGGATGAGTGCTGGCTCCAGGGGGATGAGCTGCGTGAGCTCCTGCAGCCTGGTGGCGAACCGGACCTTGCCACTGAACGTGGGGCTGGGGGAAATGGGGGCAGCAGAGCCACGGGGGAGCATACAGCAAACGGCCACGTGCGAGGCCTCGCACACGTGGGTGTGCGCAGCCCTCACTACCTGAGAAAGGGCCGTGAGAGAGCCACGAGCGCCTTGATGTACCAGGTAGGGTGGACGATGATCACAGCCTGGAGGCTCTTCCGGAGCCTGCAAGGATGCAAAAATGTGTGTGTGTGTGTGGGTGTGGGGGGGGGACTCGCCATCGGCCTTTGTGCACGCTTGCTTTGCACGCTCGCCCTCGGTTCCTGCCTGTGCGCCACCGGCCCTGCGCACGCCCACCGCCGATCTTTGCACGCTCGCCCTCGGTTCCTGCCTGTGCGCCACCGGCCCTGCGCACGCTCACCGCCGATCCACAGCCTGGTAGCACTGCTTCATCCAGCCGAAGGAGGGGATCTGCCCGCGCGCTGTGGCCCCGCTCAGGCACACCAGCACGTAGCGGTCGGCCACCGTCACCTCTAGGGTGCCTGCGATGTACCTGCAGGGCAAGCGTTGCCTGTCGGCCAGGGGAAAACGAGGCACGGGGTGCCTGGGAAGGGACCCAGGCATCCGGGACGGCCCGTCCCACCTGAGCAGGTGCTCCATCACGTAGTCATATTGGGGGATGCTGCTGTCCGGGAGGTGGCAGGCGGCGAAGAGCAGGATGGCGCCGAGGCCCCCGCTGTGGTACCCTGGGCAGAGCGGAGGGTGGCATGGCCGGCACCTGCCCTCACCACTCGCACAACGGGGACCCAGGAGTCCTGGCCCCCCACTAACCACTCCCTTCCAGGAGGGGACCCAGGAGTCATCCTGACTGCAGGATGATTTCCACCCCGCCCCACTCTAAGCACCAGCCCTGTGGGCTGGCAGGGTGGACCCAGGCGTCCAGGCTCAGCGTTACCTGCATGGGAGAGGACCCGGGTGTAGGGCTCCACTGCGCTCAGATCCACTTTCTGCTCCAGCCGCTCGCCCAGGAAGAGCCTCCAGCGCTGGCCACCCTCATCCTCCACGTCCAGCACCCGCCGGGTGCCCGCTGGGCACAGCCCCTCGGCAAGCCCCCAGGTGCATGGCAGCTCATCTGCAGGCACCTGGTTAGCAAGGTGTTGGGGGAGGACCCCAGGCATCCAGGCACCCCTCCCCGGACTCGAGGAGGGCCCAGGCATCCGGGTACTCAAGGCCCAAGTGTCTGGGCATCTACTCCCACCTCCAAGCCGGAGGAGAACCCAGCACCCCCAAACTGGAGGAGACCCAGGCATCCTGGTTACCCCCACGTTCCTCCCCCAACCGCAGGAGGTCCCAGGTGTCCGGCCCCCGGCCCTACCTTCCCACTCAAAGGCGTTGGGACCCTCCAGCTCACTCCCCGAGGGTGTCTCCAGCGCGTCGAGGTTGAGGTCAAGGCTGGCATCGGGTGAGTGCTCGGCGCCCTCAGTCCGCTCCAGCGCCAGGCTCAGCTCCGGCGCTGGCAGCCGCCTCCGCATGAGCCGCGGGGGACCCTGGGTGTCCTCTTCCGGGAGCGGCCTGGCAGAGATGGGGCGGGAGACAGAGTGTGGGGTGGTGGGGTCAGCAGGGTGGTGATGGTTGTGCCTAGTGGGTGCATTTGGGCTGGGGTTGCCAGTCACATCCCCCGCTTACCCGGGGAAGTCCTCGTCCTGCCACTCCTCACTCAGCTCCAGGCCCTGGACGCCGGCTGTCCCCGTCACCGCCGCCATCGCTGTCCCCGTCACCTGCAGAGAGAGAGAGAGAGAGATCAGCTCAGCCCCTGGGATGGGGACCGGCTCCCCTTGATCCTCAGGGCCACCCTGGGACCGTCATCGTCACTGCCCAGGCACCTAGGGACGAACCTGAACAGCTTGACACCAAAGCATTCCAATTTCCTTGGTTTCCCGCCCCATTTCCAAACTGAAAGCGGCTGCAAACATTGCCCCCAGCCTGCCCCGCTGCGGTGAGATGGCTTCGAAGCTCCCGCAGGCCCCTGACACTGGGGGACAAAGTCGGCACTGGCAGCACAACCCTGTATGAGACCTCAGAGACTCCCCCCCCAATGCCACCCCAAAGCCACTCACCTCTCGGGGGGGGCCCTCTCGCCCTGCGGTCTGGAGGAACCTGTGGCGGCCTGGCACTGGTGATGGCCCCGGTGACGGCACTGGTGGCTCATCTCATCCAAACTGGTTTGGCTGCATTCATGCCCAGGCAGAGGCCCTGGGTCCTAGCGGCACCGCTCAGGGCTCCACAGCATGACCAGTTTCCTCCTGGCTGTGCTGGATTTGGGGGTTCGACCGCATCAGCCCACTCCATCCCCACTGGAGCGGAGCCAGCTGGGGGCTTCCCAGGCCCCCGGCACAGCCAAAATGCTCCCCGGCACTCCTTTAACCCAGCCCAGCATGGCAGGGTATTTGCAGAGGGCAAAAAAGGGTCCAAAGATTCCCCTCCCCGAGACACCCTGGGTGAGGATATGGTGCTGGGCATCCCCAGAGTGAGTGGGGCAGCTCTGAGCCGCCCCCCCCCCCCCCAGAAGAAGAGCCAAGAGCCAAAAGTGGAGGAAAAGAGGGAAATTTAATCCTCAAACTACTCTGAAAACAGTCCTGAACTGCCCCTCCTGGGCAGCATGTGCAAACATCGCCATGCAAGGCGGGTGAGGCACCGGACACCCGTGCTCCCCGTCAACCCCCCGAGTGGGCAAGAACGGCAAGGAATCGTTGAAAACTCCCCCAAACGCCTTCGTCAACCGCACGGCCGCTGCCCCTGGTCCAGCCCCGCTCCCTGAGGGGTCCCTGCAGCATGGAGCCGTCCGCCCAACAAACTCGCTGCACACATGAACCCAGCAGGCACCATCTGGGCTGGAAGTCCATCAGGAGGTGAACTGCCACAAATAAACAGCTCCAGCATGGAAACCCCAACTCAGACGAAGGGGGTTAATTGAGGAGGAGGATTAGAGCTGGGCCCGGGGGGGCATCCCGTTTCCCCCATGGGGGAGGGGGTGCCCACGTACCAAACGCCCTCAGGAGTCCCCAAAAGCTACCTTGTGCCGCTAACCAGGGTTTGGGGGTGCCCCACCGGTCATTTTGGGGGACTGCCGGGGGCCAGGGAAGTTGGGGGCTGCCCAGCAGCGATGCGGCTGACCCGCTCGAAGACGGCCTGGGGGCAGAGCGGGGGCACGGCCTGGGCCAGTGGGCACTCGTCCACCAGGCTGTTCACAGGGGTGGGTGGCAGGGCCACGTCCTCCTCCGGCGCTGACGGCCCCTCCGGCACCGCAAGGACAGTCCGGAGGATGGGTAGGACCTTCTTCCGTGATGCCAACGTGTTGCCCTGGGTGTAGGCTTTGATGCAGGGCCAGGGGCTGGGGAGGGCTTGGAGGTGCAAGGGCGGTGTCGTGGCCTCCTCCAGCGCCCGGCACATCTGGAGGGGATGGAGAGTGGTGTCCAGTGGGCGCCTCTCCAGCACCCCCTGCCCCAAAGCTGGGGCTTTTGGGGGCAGAACGGGCATCATGGCAGAGAATTGCTCAGCTCAATGCACCCTCTCCCACCCTAGACCCCTGTACAGCCCCCACATTGGGGGTCTAGGACCCTCCAGATGGAGGTCTGGATGGGTTTGGGGTGCCCCCATCCCACTCACCGCACTCCGGACAGCCTCGCGCTGGCTGTATACCGCAAGCTGCCGGAAGGGTTCACTACGCTCATTAAAAGAGATCGTCATGGCCACAAGCCCTGCGAAGCCACGGGCCTGGCAGAAAGCTTCCAGGTCCTGCAGCAAGCCGGGCCGGTGCAAGAAGACCTGGAGGGGGACAGAGACTGGTGTCACCCCCACTGTCCCCATTGCACCACCCTATGCCTCAGTTTCCCCTTGCCAAGCCTCACCTCCAAGTCCATGTAGATCCCGCTGATGCCGAGGGCCAGCTCGTCACTAGAGAGGGCTTTGAGGTCCTTCCGCAGCATCTGCTCCGTCGTGAGGCCTGGGGGGGAGTGAGAGGGGCCCAGAGTGAGCCGCAGGGCAGCCCAGCCCCCAGCAGGGGGCACAGCCCGGTCTCAGGGACATATTCTTGTCCTCCAGGAGAGAGTCTGTGCAAGGACAAGCTCGCAGATGTCCCCCAGATGCAGCTCCCCAGCATGCAGACCTGAGACGTCGAACCTGGCTGCTTGCAAAGCTTCAAAGACAATGTTGCGGGCCGGCAGCTCAGGGAACCTGGACTCAAGCAGGGTGACGCAGGCTGTGTCTCTGGGTGTCACCTTGCCTCCTGCAGGGCTCAGGTTCACACAGTCCAGCAGGATGGTGCCTGGGGGGGACAGGGGCCATCAGCACAGGGAGCCAAGCTACAGCGTTGCTGTCCTCATCAGATGGGGCTCGGCGGCCCCCACGCTGCCATCTGGAGCAGGGTCCCAACTGCCTGTCCTCACCGTGCAGCAGTGCTGCCGTCAGTCTGTCCAGCACCCCCGGCGGACCCTGGGCAATCCGCTCCGTCACCAGCGTGGCGCAGGAGCCCACCAGCTCCGCTGTTACCTGGCAGCGTGGAGCCCGGTCCCGCTCCAGCGGCCGGTGGTCGATGACCTCCACCACGGCATCTTCCAGGGCTGCATCACTCCTGGTGGGCAACATGGGGACAGTGAGATCCGTGCAGTCCCTGTCCCTGCTGGCACAGCCCCAGCATGCATCTACGATGCACCACCACCAAAGCCCAGAAACCCCCTTTGCTCCTCTCCTTCCACCCTGAAAACATTCTGGAGGGAAAAGGAAAGATTTTTGCCCATCCCTGAAGCAAAACCAAGCCCATTTGCCCCTCACACATGGCAAAACTGAGGCTGGTGACGTGGGAAAGCATCCCCAGGCTGGGATTTGGCCTCACTGTCCGCATCCCATCTTCATGCTCACCTGGGCAGGACATGGTGGTCGACCAGTGTCAGGGATAGCAGCCCAGCTCGGTGCAGCCCGGCCAGGTCGATCTCGTCGCGGAAGATGAGGGAGGCATCCGGGATGCACTGCTGCCGCAGCAGGGCCACCGTCTCTGTGCGGAGACTGAAGTCCGAGCGCGGGATGTTCAGCACAGGGATGAAAGCAGCTTTGGATGTCGGGGAGGTCTGGAGAGGCAGTCAACACCCAGTGAGGCATCTTCCCATCTTGACCCTCTCCAAAAACCCCCCAGAGCAAGCAGACAAGCCTCACCTTTGCCAAGAAATATGCCAGGGCCAGAGCAGACACGGTGGAGTCCAGATCACAGGCCTCATTGCCCAACACCACGTGGACCTCCTGCTGACGCTGGATGTGCTCCTACAGGGGTGAGAGGTATCAGGCATGTCAGCAACCTGTCCCACATCCCTGTCCCAGCACGGGCCACTCCAAAGAGTCAGCCAGACAAGCACCTTAGATAAGAGACCTGGTCAGCATTGATTTATGGCTTGAAAGCCCCACGATATATCAGGGCACGCGTGCAAAACCAGCAGCATTGGGCCCCAGGGAGAAAGGAAAAACCCAACTCAGTCATGAGTGATTGCAGTTGATTGCGATGGTGGGAACAAGGCCCTTGAATCTCCAGGGGATGCCGTTGCAGCCGCTTGGTTTGCACGGAGGAGACATGGGGATCAGCAGAAGGAACTGCCCGCCCCTTCAAATCACCACATTTCAGCCCGTTTCTGTCCACGGGAGCAGCAGGGACTTCAGGACTCATACATCCCCATGTCCTCTACCCACGGGTCCCTGTATCCATCCTTGCTCCCCGGCGCACAGCATGGCACGTTATGCTCTAGGAAGACGCCCTGTCTAGTGGCCTTTCTTTGGTGACAATTATTTCATGGCATAACCCAGTTTTGCTCATTTATTCCATATAAGCTGAAGAACTAAATAACCGACGGCTGCGCTTGGCATCTCCAGCATTAACCCCGCAGCGGAGAGCCCGTTCTTCGCGCAGCCTCCATTCAAGGTCGCTGTTTGAGGTCAAATGCAGCTGCCGAATCCAAATTGCCCCAGCAAAGGAGATGGGGCCGGGGTTCACAGCAGCCACTTCCAAACCACTCGTGAACCTGCAAGATCTGCATCCACATGCTGTGAGGCTCAGGACAAAGGGTTGCACACGCAGGGATGAAGGCACATCAGCGTGGTCCCTTGTGCTAAAGAGCTATGAGATCTTAAAATAGAGGCTCTGCATTTAAGCTTTGAGTGTAGACGGGCCCATAATTTTAGCAAACTGACGTCTGGGCTTTTTCAGAGCTTGAAAGACATGTTTTATCACCCTGCGCCTCGAGAGGAGGTGCTGTACCCCTCCCAGAAGATAGAATTAAGGGCCACGATCCTCCTCGAAAGCATCCCCAAAGCAAACACAAGGGGAGGCAGCCGGGCAGTCGCAGTGGCAGCATGGAGATTTTCGCAGGCACCACCCAAGGGGCCATTCCTGCATGGGAGATCACCCCCAAATTCTCCCCATGCAGACGACTTCGGAATACTGTGCACCATCTCTCCCCAAACATCCCCCACCTTTCTATCACCCCTGCTCCCTGCTCTGCGCACCCCTCTCCAAACAGGGTCCTCCTCTTCACCCTGCTTGCACCCTCCTCCCTGCACCCAGCACCCCCTGCACCCTCATCCCCTCCCCCCTGCACCCCCTGCAACCTGATCCCCTTCTCCCGGCACCCAGCACCCCTGCACCCTCATCCCCCCCCCCCCACCCCCCGCAACCCGATCCCCTCCTCC